AACGGGCACCAGCCAGGGGACCAACATCAGAAAACTTGGAATCCTATCTCAAGGCTGCAACCCCCGCCGAGCCCCTTGGAGGCCCAATGCCGGCTATGGCCGCGCCATTGAGCTCCGCCGGTTGGGCGTGACTCATGTCTCGGGCAAATCATCGGACGCATTGCACTGTTCCTCTGACCACCTGTTCACATGTCCTCTCATACCCCACCGACCCCCACATCGTTTTATTACGACCGTGCGGCAATCGCTCATGCTCGTGAATATACTGTAACAGCCCTGCGCTACTTGCATCTGCTGCAATTGGTCTGCTAGCCCACCCGTGCCACCCTCACCTGCAAGCTTGGGGCTGGTGCGACAAACAATTGGAGCATCCCCACCCGAGCGGGAACGACACACAAAAACGAAAATCCCGCGAACGGCCCGCAGAGGGGCCAACAGACAATTGACAGTGCAACTTCGGAGGTGAAGAAGACACCAACCTCACTGCTCCCTGGACCCCTCCCGGGGTGCGTTGCGACTAGAATTGCGAGGAGAGTCCAGCCATGGCGACGAGGGCCTCCCAGGAGGCCCACACAGGCGAAAAAGGGGGGAGGGTAGCAGTATGGGCACCTTCTCCTCCTCCAATGTAGGCGGCGCGCACAGGGGGGTACGGGGAGGGGCGAAGGCTTCTTAACAGGATGCTGGTTCTTAGAAGACGCCGGCCCTGCGTCTCAGACAAAGCCCGCGCCTTCTGAGCAGCAGTGCTACTTACAAGAAGCCAACACGTCGTTCATTTCTAATCGTGCTCATTTCTAATTGTGCTCGTTTCTAATTGTTCCTGGCCCCCTAGTGGCCAGGAACAGGTCCAGGATGAAACAATTAGAAATGAAAGGATCTTGGCCCCCCCCAAAATCAAACAACGTTCGAATAATCAGAAATGAACAAGGTATACCCCCTTCCCCCTGCCCCCCTCTGCGCGTGGCCGATGATAGCCGGCGGCTGCGGCGCCGCGACTCGGCCTCCGCAACGCAGGCTGCGCCCGCGCCCCCCGGGGGGGCAACGATAGGGCGGGACTGGCATGGGGTAAAGTAGGGCTATGGTGGATCTCTTCCTAAAGACTTTTTGTTTAAGACTATTTTTGAATATTCCTCTTGTAGAGGGACAGGCGACCTGGAATCAGCGATACATCGCCGGCAGATCGGCGATAGGCCCCCGACAGTGCCCATCCCCCCTGTCGTCGAAAGCATGGCCATCAATAACCTCGCATGTGCAGTCGGACCCGAGACAGAAGACCATCCTTCAAGAATATGAGGCCCTCTGCCGGCCAAAACACACAAAACACTCGAGGGTGCCCTCCGCAGGATGCACACGAACATCCAACAACCACGAAGACCAGCAGGGTACCCTCCTCGAACCGACCTCGATCTTATACCTCGGTCCCACCGTACATATAGCCAACCTGTATAATGAGGATGCGCGGTAAAGATGCAAGGGCCTTGGAGGGCCACGTTAACGCTTTTCGAACGAGGCTGGTCAGCGAAAGTCGCCAAGGATGGGCCAGCGTGGAAGGAGGCAAGGGTAACCTTAGAACATCGCTCATCCTTCCTATGCGGGTTGACTGGATAAAGGGGGGAGCATTGGCACTGGATGGAGGGAGGGGAGGCAGGCTTGCCATGAGGGGACACAGGGGTCCAAACAACTGCACAAATCGGGGGCGCGCGAACATGGATTGGCGATCCATGGATTTGGCGCGCGGTCTCGCCAAACCCATGGATCGGGGGAGGTGCCCTCCCCACAATGCGGCCGGTGCCGCCTCGCTCGGCGGCTGAAGTCCGCGATTTCCCATGGAAGCGGGGCCCGTCGCTGATCCACGCCCCTTTTACCCATGTTTGCGATCGCCTGACCAAACATGAGTTTTCGGAGCTCGGCCCATCCCCCCCCCCCTGTCGTTGCCCCTGATCGTCCTCCTCGACAGGCCGACTGCGAGGACCACGCCTCTCCGACCCCCCTGCTTCCGGGCCTCCCGGGGCCGTGGGTCCTCCTTCTCGGAGGTCCGCGGCAGCCGCGAGGAGGAGGTGGGAGGGAGGCCCCCCATCGTTCCCCCCGGGACCCGCCTCCCCCTCCTCAAAGGTCCGCGGCGGCCTCGAGGAGGAAGCGGAAGGGAGGCCCCCCCCCGCGAGGGAGGCCTCCCTTCGCTGCCCCGGACTCTCCTGCCCCCGTGGCCCAAGGTGCCTCCAACTTACTCCGCCTCGTCGCTGCGCGCGAGCCGCGACCGCCAAAAAGTGTGTGCGTGTGTGGGTGTGCGTGTACGTGTGTGCGTGTGTGTGTGTGTGTGTGTGTGTGTGTGTGTGTGTGTGTGTGTGCGTGTGTGTACGTGTACGTGTGTGTGAGTGTGTGTGTGTGCGTGTGTATGTGACAATGTGTGTGTGTGTGTGTGCGTGTGCCCAGGAGCGCACGAGTCGTGAGAAAAATCACGACGGGAGGTTCTTGGCAATTTCCGGCCCCCCGTCGGGGGTTGCTAAAGGTGCCCCTGGCCCAAGGTGCCCCCAGATTGTCGCTCCACTTTGGAGCCCCCGGGGGCACCCTCGGCCGCGTGATGGATGCTCTGGAAGCCGTGGGCCTCCTTGGAAATCCTGATGGCACCTTGGGCCAGAGACACCTCTGGCAACACCCGAAAAATGCTGGGGCGGCGCCCTGGCCGGGACTCCCGGGCCGACGGCCGGTGGCGACGGGGGCCCCTGGGAGGCCCAGCCGACGACGGGCCCAGACATCCGACGATGTGTTCTTGTTGAGTGCACGGCCCCGAGAAATCTCGACCCCTTTCACCAGGGCCGATGTTTGTCCCGACTCCATCTCTGGATGGCCCAGTGGCGGGCCCAGGGCGCCGAAGCGGAGGCGAAACGCTGGAGCTGCACCAAGCCCCTCGTCGCAGATCCGGGTCCGGGAAGCCGAGTGTGGTGACGACGACGCGAGAAGCGAGGCGAGGCGACGCCCAATTCGCCCGCGAGGGCCGCCGCGCAAGCGAGGCCGGGAGTGGGCGCGGGGCGCCGCTCATCCAGTGGAGGGACAACATGTTTCTGTTTGTTGGCTTGGCTGCGCGCACGAGAGGGGGGAAGGCTCCTTTGAAGGAGGGTGCCTCGCAGAAGGCGACTGGCCTTACATCTGTAGATGAGGCCCGCGCACTCCAAGAAGCAGGGGTGCTTCTCATAAGCCTTCCCTCCGCCCCTTGACCCCCTCTGCGCCTGGCCACATGTGATCACAGAGCGCTGCCCAACGCAACGCTTTGCCATTTCTCCCCACGGGTTGGATATAACATCTGCCACATGCTCATGTCCATCGTCTTCGGGCGTTGGCAACAATGTGCTCAGTGAGGCCTTGTTCAGAGATGTGTACCGGGGGACGCTCCCCTGTCCCCTTCCACTAACCAGAACTGTCGCCACCGGAAGAAACACCAGCTACGGCAGACCTGATTCGGTGATTCTGGTTCATTCTTGGGGCTCCGGGGCCCCAATCGCTAAGCGCCCCCCCCCGACCCAGGGTCCTGGCAATATCCGACTTTTGTGAGGTCGTTGTGGTAGCCGCTTTTGTGAGGTCGCAGGGGGGCGACGAGGGGAAGGGCAACACGGGGCGCTGGAGTGGCCTTCTGGGGCGGGGGCTCGGCCAGCGCGGCGAGCCCGGAGTGGTGCGGAGGCCGAGCCCGCGCCACGGGGCCCCAGGCCTCGAGGCCTCTTCGCCGCCATGCTCCAGCCTTCCTCGGAGCCTCGAAGCTGCGATCGTGTTCGCGTCGAAACGCCGATGCCATCGCTCCTGCCTCAACCTCCTCATTTTCCTCGATCCTCCAGCATTATTTTCGATCCTCCTCGGTCCTCGATCATCCTCCTCGGTCCTCGATCCTTCTTCTCGATCTACAATCCGCTCATTTTCCGTAAACATGAATATCCCTGCCGCACCTCGAGGCCAGTCGGAAGGGCGGGCCGGGCGTTGCGCCTGAGACTTCCTTACATACCAATTATGATCCTACTGCTTCAACCCTGGCGACAGTTTTACAGATGGAGGGCGGGTTGCTTCTAAAACGTGGACCTCGCCTCGGCGCCGCACACATTTGTCTCACAAATTTGCAAGACTTTCGCGGATTTAAGGCGGACCGTTTTTAACATGTGGCTCTCGCTTGAGCGCCGCGCACATTCGTCATAAACAAATCCAAGGGTTTCACGATTTGAGGTCGGGAGGCTTTCAACATGTGGTTCTCGCCTTAGCGCCGCGCACATTTACTTAAACACATGCAACCTTTTTGCGGATTGAGGTCGGCTACTTTTCAACATGTGACTCTCGCCTTCGCGCCGCGCACCCCTCGTCTGAAACCATGCAATCATTGTTTACCGATTCCGATGGTTGACGTAGTTGAAATGGCGTTCTGGAACTATTCAGGGTTGCGAGGGCGCGAAATGGACGTTGCATTGCGGTGTTGAAGTCCCAATAATGGTGCTCTGGCACGACTCAGAACCGTTAAGACGCAACAATCCAATTGATTCGTGGCGTGGGAGTCCCGAGACTGGTGTTGTAGCACGCTCCACGATCTTCAAACGGTAGATTCCCAACGGGGCACTTCCCCCAGTGGGGAGGGAGCTTGGAGGGAGGGTTGATTCCAACATCGTTGCTGAATCTTGGGTTTGCATTTGTCCTCCTCCTTCTCTTCCTCCTCCTCCTCCTCCTCCTCCTCTCTTCCGCCGCTTTGCCTCCTCGAGGCCCTTCCCTCTCGACACCTCGACACCTGAAAACGAGGCCCGAAACAGGACAACACCAAATCGGGACGCATCGGGGATCTCTGAGATCCCACTGCTCTGAGGGATTTGCCGGGCGCCGCGCCGTTCCAGAGCGTTCTGGAACGATCTGACAGCGTGGGGAGCCACGCTGTGAACAAATCGCGACGTCGGCTTCCAGAGCTTGCAGGGAAGAGGCTTCGAAGGAAGGCATGGCAAGGCCCAGAGGGCCTACGACGGCCTGTGCAGGAAAGCGCGCGCTCAGCCGCTGCCGCAGGACGTCTGGAAGGGGCCGGCGAGCCCGAGGTTGGGGATGCGACCATCCGCCAAGGACTTCTCGTCCACCACCCTGTGGGGCGCAGCTCGGCCGGCCGGAGACGTCTGAGGATGCTTCAGATAGGGTGCCATACCATGCCCAATGCACATGAGGCGAATTTCTGTTGTTAACGCTGGAGGGGCGAACGTGCTCAAGAAACTGGGCCAGCTTTCCGGCCTATTGGTCAAGAAACAATGGCCCAGCGCTTTGGGAGGAGGTTTCTTAAACAAATTGCCGACTGTAACAACACCTTACATCATCCCGGGCCTGGAGACGGCGAGCTACGCCAGGGGGCATGGGGGTCATGCACGAGCAAACCATTTTCCCTCCCCCCGCGGACCAGAGTTGCCCGAGCGCGGCAGGAGAGGCACGAGCTCCCTCCTCCCGTGCGAACGATCACATGTCTCGCGACATCATTTACGAGCGCACACGGGGACACGCGCGTGCAACACACATTCGGAAGTAGGTGCGCTATTTGCGGAAGCCGCTGCAACTTATGTGCGCTGGCGTCTTCGGTTCGCGCCTCACTCTCAGGCGCTCCTTACTCTTATGCGCGGCTGTCCCCGAGGGCCTCGATGTCTCCACTTTACGCTAGGAGCTCAACCCCTTGCTTCTACTCATGCTGCTTTTGCGTTGGGTCGCAGCCTCTAGAGAAAGTAAGTCCCGACTTAGGCGAGGCAACCTAACTACAACACAAAACCCATGTGCACACCGCAAGTGGAAAGACGGCCGAAGCGCAAAGGTGCAATAGTGTTAGCCCGCCGCGGCACAAAGCAGGCCTGCAGCAGAAATCGAGGAGGGGAGAGGAATGGAGAAACCGAAAAATACCGATATCGCTACCCGCCGGGACCTCTCCATGGATGTGTTCTGACCCGGATTTCGAATCGAATCCCGCGGTGGCGACGAGGGCCTCCCACGAGGCCCCAAAAAGGGGACAACGGGCGAAGGGTAGAAGAATGGGTACCTGTACCTCCTTCGACGGAAATCTTTTTGCCGCCCAAAGCAGCGTGCCCATGCCGAGCTGCAGCTGTCCCCGGCCTTCGCCGCACGCCCCCCCCTGCGGGCACTAGCCTCCGCCTCGGGGCCGAGAGGACCCCGCACGCACGAGGGGCGCGGCGAGAGTGGGTGGACGTGCCGCCCGGCCGTGTCTCAAGGTAACCCCGCCAGCCCTCTGGGCGTGAGTGGCTTACAGTCGGACTCGGTTGGACATGACACCTGGCCGGACACAGACACAAAACTTGTCCGACAGCAACGTGGCCCCAGAACACCAAAAGACATGCAGGTTGCATATGCCGGGTAGACAGGACACAGGGGTACCCTCGACTTGGAGTGGTCGACATACCAATACCAATCAGGGCCGACTCCAGGACGTTTCCTCTTCCGTCTCCCCCTTCTTCCCCTTCTGGGAAGGGTCTACGCCTCCCCCTGCCGCCTCTCCTCGGTCTGGGGGGCAGGGGCCGCGAGGTGTCAGAGCGCCCCAGAAGGCCCAGCGAGAAGACGCAACCCCCAAGGCTCCCAAGAGTGCCCCAAGAGGCGCCTTGGAGGCCCAGAGAGGCCCCCGAGACCTCTGGCCATTCTCACCACCCTCCTCCTCCTCCTCCTCTTCCTCCTCCTCAGCCTGTTCCTCTTTCTCCTCCCTTCCCCCCTCACCCTGCCTCTCCTTCGAGTCCTCCTCCATCCGCCCCCTCTTGAGGAGTGACAGCTTCGCCAGCCCTTCATTCCACTGCATGCTCCTCCACATTCCTGATCAGGGCAACTCGCCTGGGCATCGTTTCTGAATGCTGTGATGAGAGATGACGGTGCAGTGATGATGCTGATCACGATGACGACGACGATGATGATGATGCTGGAGAAGACGTTGCTGCTAATACTTTTGATCTTACTGGTATCAGTGTGGTAATGGATGGAATAATGAGTGAGACGAGGAGGAGGATGCGGAGGCGGAGGAGGAGGAGGGAGGGGGAGGAGGATGAGCAAGAGTGAGAATGATGATGGCGAAGGTGGATGGCGAGGAAGAGTGCAATGCGGAAGAAAAGGCCAATGGTGATACTACGAGAAGAGAAGGGATGAAGGAAAGGGAGGAGGGAGGACAGGGACGGACTCAGAGGGTTTGGAACTACCCTGCGGCTCACACGAGATCATCCTCACACGCCTTGTCTTGCTCGTCCTCCTCCTCCTCGTCGTCCTCCTCTCCTCCTCCTCCTCCTCCTCCTCCTCCTCCTCCTCCTCCTCCTCCTCCTCCTCCTCCTCCTCCTCCTCCTCCTCCTCCTTTCATCCTGCTCCTCTCCCTCCCATGCGTCCCCACCCCGGGGCACAAGACACAGGGCGGCCTGCAAGGAGGAGGGAAGAAGGAGGAGCAAGGAAGAGCACGAGGAGGGAGGAGGACGGAGCAGGGAGCCCCGGGAGCCCGCGCGGAAGCGAGGCCCCCCGTCCTCCACGGCTTCGCCCCCTCCGACTCAGCGTACTCCCCGTAGATCCACCTGGCGCGCGGTGGACCGTCGGGAGTGCTGGCGGGGTGGCGGGGAGGGGCGGGGGGGGGGGGGGCTGGACAATGGGGGATGAGCTGAAAGGGGGGGTGGGCTGGCCAGTGAGGGATGAGCTGAAAAGAGGGGGGGGGCTGTCCAGTGAGGGAGGAGCCGAAAAGAGGGGGGGGAAAGGAGGGTGGGCATGGGAGGATTGAGGGGGGGGACGGGACTGTGCCGCTCCGACCTCGGTGCAACACCAACCAGAGCGCGCGTCGGGGGCGCGAGGGCCATACATTCGGGATCGCAACTTGCGATAGGACGAAACGTCTGGCGAGTGTGAGACATCACCGCCGGCGAGGACTCAATCGACGTAAGAACTGCACGGACACATCCTCCGACAATCGGGCTGGGCGAAAGGGGGGGACAGCAAGGGGGGGGGGGAGAATCAGCTCACACAGCTGATTTTCCCGGCGCCTCCCGGCGCCGGAGGCGGCTATTGAGGGGCAACGATAAGGGGGGACTGGCATAGGGGGGGATGCATCGACCTGGAATCGGCGATACATCGCCGATAGATCGGTGATAGGCCCCCGATAGTGAATCCGCACCTTCCTGTGCAGGTTGGGGCTATCGGGCCCCTATCGGCGATCAATGGGCGATTGGAATGGGCACCTCGGTGGGGCCGACACCAGCTGCACGCAGCAGATTTCGTAACCCCCCCTTTCCCTATCCCCCCCTCTCGTCCAGCCTGGTAGGAGTGCCGCGCCCTGGCGTTGTTGGCCAGAGCAGGCGGAGCGAGAGACATTTGTTGCAGGCGGCACGCCGACCCCAGCTGGCGGTCGGCCCACGGCGGGGCGCGCAGGAAGCCAACCAGGCACACGGGAGGGGGGAAGCCGGGGGAGGGAAAAGGGGGGGGACGCCGCGGGCGCCCAGAGCGCGTGAAGCACCTCGGGATGTGCCGGAGGCAGGCCCCAAGTCCTTGCCACGGTCAGCGCGTCTGTGAAGGCAGCGCAAGTCCAGGGTAAGGAAATGAGTCACGCGAAGGTCAGCACGGGGCGGGCCAGAACGGGCGGCGCGACACGCTAAGCCAAGAATCCTGACCGCAGCGTTGCCTCAAGGCCATTACTCGGCTCTTTGGCGGCTAATCCAGCCGATCTGGGCACCCCCAGAGCGCTCTCGGCGAGGCGCAGCCGCTGGAACGCATCCCGAAGCCGACAAAACCGCTGAGAATCGCCGTCGTGCCCGGGACGCGACAAGCCAGGCAGGTCGTGGGGCGGCCAAGAGGGGGGCGGGGACGCACTGAGATGAGACGAGGCGCCTTGACATCTGGGGAGATCTCATGGCCCTGGCCATGATGTCCACCCCCCTACACGTCGTTCATGTCTAATCGTGCTCATGTCTAATTGTGCTCGTTTCTAATTGTTCCTGGCCCCCTAGTGGCCAGGAAGAGGCCCAGGGCAGAACCATTAGAAATGAAAGGACCTTGCCCCCCAAAAGAATCAAAGAACTTCCGAAGAACTAGAAATGAACAACGTGTAGTCATCCTCCTCCTCCTCTCTGCCGCCCCCGACACGGATTCCTCGCCGCGTGCCCGGGACGGCGCGATCGGCGAGGCGCGCCAGCGAGGGACACGAGCCCCGGCCGCACGGGCGGCGGGCGGCCGCTGCATGAGCCCCACGGCCCCGCCCGGGAGAGGGCCTCGGGCACTGGGCGGCGCAGCGCCGCAGCTCGGCGCTCTCCTCCGGCTCCCTCGGTTCCGACGATCCTTCCGACAGCTGGCCCCCGAGGCAGGGTGAGGACCTATGGGGCCACGCGCCGACAAAAGTCGTGTGAACGTTTCCTTATTCGCCGTTTCGACATTGAGCGGCAGGGCGGGGGGAGGAAGGGGGGGGTGTCCTGGCTCTGGACCTCTGCCTAGTGCGACTGTTTGGAACAATGCTCCCATGGGGAATCCCGTGGGCATCCGCCCACCTGCTTGAGACAGGCGCCCAAAATAGTCAAGACCTGCTAGATCGAGGGGAAGGGGCGGGGCGGTGCGAGGGCCGGCGCCGATCGGCAAAACGATGAATGAGAAGCCACTCGCGCTGTCTGGGCCTTCGTCTGGTCCGCGGCGCCCCCGGGATCGGCGAGCGCGTTCACGGGGCAGCCGGGGGTGCCGCTCCGACGAGCACCGCCTCTGGGCGAGGAGGTGCGCCACGACGCGAGCCCGTCTTCGGCACGGGCCACGCCCGCGGGTGCGGGCTCTGGGCCAACGCCCCGCCGAGCTGGGGACACTCGGTCTGCACCAGCTCGCCATGGCGTGCAGGCATCCGCTCAAGAAGAGGACGCTCAAAAGTGTGCGCGCCTGCTCGTCCGCGGATAAGCGCAGTCATCGCCTCAAGATCTGCTGCGCGCTGCGGTTCAGCCTTGCCAGGTTTCGGATCCAGAACGCCTCCAAGGATCGAGTGTCACGGACCGCGGCCGTCAGCAAGGCAGCCGGGGTG